GTGCACATAAAAATCTATTCATATATGAATCGCAATTCTGTCTTCTAACGATTCTAATGGATTCACAAGTTTCAAAATCAATGTTCTAAAGCAGCGGTGCTCAATCCTGTTCTTCGCGTCGCCCTGCTCTGCACACGCTCTGCTCTGCATCTCTCTCTCATTCAGATCATCAGCTCAGCTCCAACAATGAACTGTTCCAATTATACACTTTATGTGTATAGACAGACAGATATTTTTCACATAGCTATGAAAAGCGTTAAACATGGACGCATGGCATGGCACGTGCGGTTGCCATGCTGTATTAAAGCTTTAATCAGGATAAAACCGTATATTAAAAGCTAACATAAGCAGTAGCATTTACAAATAACAGCGTTTCTAAAAGTATGAGACAACAACAAACAAAAAACATACAATTAAGAACCGTGCTTGCACAGGTTCTGCATGACCCTCTTCACTAATATCCTCTGCGTCTCAATCGGGCTCAAATTGATAAGCAATATTGACGACGCCATTGTTTACAACACAACCGGAGCACATTCTGAGCTGAGGGGCGTGACGGTTAGACGCACACTAGCGGTTTAGCGAATCACAACACACTGGGCCAGCTGACCAATCTGAGCCCATCCCGTATTTCTGAGGGAGCGGCTTCATAAAAACAGGAAATTATCAGTGTGTTTATAGGAGAAGGGACAGAGCGGTGTAGAATAAAGGTAAACTATGTGAAATATAATGCGTTTTTTTTTTTTAAAACAAAGCATTAACACATGTTAGACTGCACCCCATAAACACAATCAAGCCTAGAAAAAAAACAGTCAACCACCCCTTTAACCCTATGGCGCTCCTCATTTATAAGTCACACTCATACTCCTCACTGAAACATAAATATAAATTTAAAGGGATAGTTCACTCAAAAATGAAAATTCTGTCATTAATTACTCACCCTCATACTGTTCCAAACCTGTAAGACCTTCGTTTATCTTCAGAACACAAATTAAGATATTTTTGATGAAATCCAAGAACTTTCTGACCCTCCATAGACAGCAAGGGACCACGTTCAAGGTCCAGAAAGATACCAAGAACATTGACAAAATAATCCATGTGACATCAGTGGTTCAACCGTAATTTTATGAGGCTACGAGAATACTTTTTGTGCACACAAAAAACTAAAATAATAACTTTATTCAATAATTCTTCTCCTCTGCGTCACCCTAGTGCAATTTTAGAGAGTACCACGACGTATCCGCGTGCTTTGATCTGCACGTAAATGTGGTAGGACCCTTGCTGTCTATGGAGGGCCAGAAAGCTCTCGGATTTCATCAAAAATATCTTAATTTGTGTTTTACGGGTTTGGAACAACATAAGAGTGAGTAATTAATGACTCACTAATGAGTAATTAATGTAATTAATTAGAATTTAAATTTTTGGGTGAACTATCACTTTAAATAAACTTTAACTCAAAATATAAGAAACAGTTTTAAGATATTAATACAGTAAGTGTGATTTATGACAATGTGTCTCTTGTCTCCAATAGACTAAACCAGAGCCCACCCCTGCCATTGCTATTGGAGCAAAAGCAGTCCCCAGCCAACCTGCCAAAACAGCCCAACCTCCACTTACTGGAATAGGTAATTGTGCTTAAACGACTTCAACATGGCCTAGATATACTCAAAGCACAATCAAAGACCAGTAAGATTTTTTGCTTCTGAAATAGAACACATTATGTATACACTTCATGGTTGTATTGTGCTGTTTTTTTTGTTTGGAAAATTAGAATTGGAAAAATATCTAACCTTTGCAAATGGGTCAGAAACATTCATTAAGGGTGGCTTTAGTTTGTGGTAATTGTACCAAATATTTGCCTGCAACTAGATGGCTACATGCAATCTACTGTACTAGCAATCATATAATTTACTAAATGCATAAGCTGAACGGCCTCTGTTGATCTGGCAGCGAATGAGCTTGCTTGCTTGCTCATTTAAATAGTCTGGTTTAATGTTTGTTATTAAGCTGGTCATGCAGCACGCTATCAGAGCTTCTCTGAAGCCTCCCACCTCCCCCAGCTCCACCTGTCTACATCTGCTACTGTATTTCTATACAGCTATGGAAAAAAATTGAGACCACTGCAACCCTGCGACCACATTTCTCCCTAATTTCAAATAAACGTATTGTCATTTAGAGCATTCATTTGCAGAAAATGACATCTGTTCAAAATAACAACAAAAAAAAAAGATGCAGTATTTTTAGACCTCAAATAATGTAAAGAAAGCAAGTTCATATTCATTTTTAAACAATACAATACTAATGTTTGAAATAAATTGTATTTTTTGGTGGAATAACCCTGATTTTCAATCACAGCTTTCATGCATCTTGGCATGCTCTCCACTAGTCTTTCACATTGCTGTTGGGTGACTTTATGCCAAGAAAACAACTATTTATTTTGAGATCACAAGAAAACAAGGGGAAAAAAAAAAGTAATGCATGGCTTTTTAGGGCTTCTGTACTGTCACTCACAAGTTACTTTGTTGGGAAAAATCATATACAGTGGTAGTTTTTGCTGTGTGTGTGTTTTACTATGAATTCTGTTTTTTAATAAAGAGAACAGAAGATTGAAATGGCTGGAATATCAAGTCAGTTTGTTTTTGGCTATAAGAATATGTAGGATATTCAAGTGAAAGTGCCCACTCACTTTTGCTCAGGTCCGGCTAAAAATAATATTGTGCTTATGCCACTGATAGATAATATAGACATTCACAATGACAAGCTCCAACAAATTGAACACCAAATGAAAAATAGTGAACAGAGTTTTGGCACAGTATGTAAATAATAGCAAGATAGTCATATAATGACATTATAAACTAAATTAAGAAAATTATAGACATAGAAAGCTATGTCTAATATGTCTAAGTCTAATTGTACTTGAAAGTCTTGAGCAATAAAGTAAGAGCATTAGTAAGAGCAATAAAAAGTATATATGCGTGAAAGGAAACATTTGCAAAAATGGTTGTGGATAAATTCTTTGTATGGCAAAATTTCATCAATAAAGTCAAGTCAGTAAGAATCCTCATGATGATGAAGCTTACCTAATGGACTTCTGGTGGCAGAGAAATTCTTCTGTACATATTCGGGTTCAAGTTTGTTGAACTTTGACCATGTAGTGCTGACCAATAGATGTTTCTTAAGTTGGCAGTTAGGCGGTGCTTCATTAAAGTTGCGCTAAACATTCACAATGAATGAGGCAATCCTTCAAGTGGTGTCTACTTAGTCACTTCTTTATTACGGCACTGGCACTGTTCAAGAATATAAAGTGTTGCAGAAAAAGGCCTCACAACTCAAATCCAGTCCCACCTTTTTTTGGCTGTGGAATTTTGCCGTGTAAAATGTGCTCTGTACTTGGTCTTTAGCATTAATAAGTGGCCACTGCCTGATCAGTATTTTCTTGGATTACTATCCAAATTTGCCATGCTATCTATATACCTAATTGAAGAGGCATATATGTATCTGTTGGCAGTGTTTCCATTTGTAAACCTAAATCTCTTCTCTATAATTCTCTAGGCTCCAAAGCAGCTCCAAGGCCTGGTGGAATTGGCAGTGCAGCTGCAGGTCAGCCGGGTGTAGACGGAGAGAGCATGCTGACTAAAATTTTGCCTGGAGGAGCTGCAGAGCAAGCTGGCAAATTAGGAGAAGGTGAGCAGAGAGTTTCCAAGGTATAACTAGCATTTTTGGTCAGTTATTATTAACAGACTAGTTTAAATAGTACATGGGTCAGGCCTGGCTCCAGAATCAAATCATTGAGGGTGCTTCTTAAATTAGTGAGGGTGCTAATTTATATATAATTTATTATATATAATTTAATTTATTAATTTATATATATATATATACACAAAGGCTGTATTGGCCATGACTTGATTGCAAATACAAATACAAATACAAAAATAAGACACTGATTATAACGTAAAGTTGTGAGATCGCGATGAACTAAGATGAGTGACTGCCTTTTAGTGATTATGAAGGGAGCACTCTTTGCGCCATAGCAATAGACATATATATATGAATTATATATAAATTAGCACCCTCACTAATTTAAGGAGCACCCTCAGTGATTTGATTCTGGAGCCGGGCCTGCTTTTAATATAGAAAGTTATTTGGTTTCCCAAATGAATCAGCAATTTATCATATATTGTTATGCCACAAAGTGCGCTCCCTTCATAATCACTAAAAGGTTCATTGCGATCTCACAAAGTTACATTATAATCAATGATGTTCTCTATGCTGCACAACGAATCTCTTATTTACATCATGCCTAAACGTTGTTATAATGAGATGATTTGTGCTGAACACACCTGAATAAAAACTTGGCTACACTGCTCAATGCTGCACAAACACGTTGAAATAGAAACCAATCTCCAGAGCGCAAACCATAATGCGCTGGATATTTTGCCAAATCTGCAATGAAATGCCATTATTACAGCTCTAACTGAGGGTGCTATTGATTTTGTTTGAGGGTGCTTATGACCCTCTAGCACCCCCGTAGAACAGGGCCTGACATGGGTCAATATTAACTATTGTTCTTTTCTTAATTCTTTTTTTCTTACAAAAACAAATGTTTATTATTTGTACAGACACAATGCTTTTTATAACCAATGTTATTCTCACTGTTTTCTCTTTTACTTTGTGATTTGCACAGCCATCTCTGGATTTGGCAAAAAGTTCACCTCCTTGTGGTGAGGTAGTACAATTAAAAGGTGGGTGCAGTTGATTTTCAGTTATTACACACTTACCATTGCCCATGTTGTAACTGTAATAAATAAACATACTTTAAAATAATTTACCAAAAAATTAACACCTGTGTGCGTATGCGTGTGTGTCAGAGAGAGAATGAGAGAGAGTGAGAGAAAGAAAGAGCAAGAGAGCAGCTGACTGAGTAGAGTGCATTGTAACAAGGTGGCATATTTTTAGCTTCACAGTGATTATTCTTATTGTTTCCGTGTTATTTTAGGGTGTCTAAAATGACAGAGGATGTTTTTGCACTGGAAAAACCTATGAAGTTTCCCTACTATGTTTTAATTTAAAGAGAAGACAACTCATGAAAGAAAGTGAGAGGGAGAGAAGCTGTCTGGTTGTTCTGGTAAGTATATGATAAAAGTTGATATAGCATATTAGAGTTGGATGGTTTGGTTACATTGGTAACCTCTTGATTACATATGTAACCTTATTTCCCTGTGATGATTGACTGAGACCTGTATTAAATCGCATGTGATGATTGACTGAGACCTGTATTAAATCGCACCAATTTATTGGCATCTAGCAGGAAGCATCTCCAAAATCAAAGCATCTAGCAGGATGTTTTATCCTTAGCCAGAGATAGCATTCAGTCCAAACCCACCATCAAAAAGACCAATAGCATTAGCCATGTGCTTAGTGTCACAAAGCGATTTCTCAGATTGCCTTGATTGATTTGATTGCCTCAGGGGACAAGCAGTCACCATCTTCCATCTCCTTAAGGACCTTCAGCTGGGAACCCTTCAGGACTGTCATGGTGTGCAGCAGCACATTTGCTCAACCAGCAGCTATACAGGACTTTCTGATCAAAGCAGACATAGTCCTACACATTTTGAACAGTATATTAGGCCTCAGTTTCCATTAGAGGGCTGACGATGGTGAGAGATGAGCCACTAATGGCTCTTCCATTGCCAGCATCTCTGAATACCCCTGTTCAGCCATCTCAAAAATGGCTGTGAAAACAGAGGCAGTCGAATTAGTAATCCGTGCAGGGAAGGCTTGGTTCCAGGACCCTGAGATCTCACAATGGATCCTAAAATCACGGCAGCGGCTTACAGAGCAAATGCGTGCCTGCTAACAACCACTCATCCAACTTGGAGTGAGCCCCTGGCTGGACAGCCTCATCCCAATCCAGCTAAAGCCTGTCTACAGCATGAGAAAGTACATGCAAAAGCTCTGTATAAGCTAAAGAAGGGCAAAGGGTGGCCTGAACTCCTCGAAGTCAGATGTGGCGGCAGATAGCACATTAAATCTAAAAGAGATCACTTTACGAGTTTCTGAACTCGGACACAAACCCTCATATGCAAACTCCACTGAGACATATTAAGCATGCAATCAGGAGAAAGCAAGAGAGAGAAAACCGAAGGCTTGCGCTCCATAGCTTCAGGTTGAAATGCCAGCCCATGCGGTGCCTCTGCAGCTGCAGAGCGAGCAGCATGGAGAAGAGACCGTTTCAAGCAATATCTGCCAATGAATTGGTGTGACTGTATATGGGCTTCAGCCAGCCGTCACAGCGTTGAAGTGAACCTATTAAAGATAAACAAAAACATACATGACATTATGAGTAATTTTATATCATGAAAACAAACTCCCCTAGTACTATAAAGTACTCATTATTGTTGGCGATAGTTGGCGATATTGCAATTTTTTATAACATTTACAATTGAATTTGTATTGTTTGTGTGTGTGTGTGTGTGTGTGTGTTTTAAAGCCAGCCAGGACTGGAATCACAGGACTTTAGGTCTGGGTCATAAATCAAAGGCGACAACACTGTTCGCTCTGAAAGCCAGACAGTAAGTAACTTTATGATTTGAAATTCTGAAATATAAAAATGACAGTCTTAATCAAGGGGTTGGCAGCGAGACTGAGTCAAGTTACTTATTCACTTACACTTAAACATTTTCACACTGTCCATCCACTTTAACATACATGCTTTATTCACATGGAGATAGCTATGTATGACTTCCCATGAATGGGCTGATGCTGATTAGCCGCAGAGTTGAGAGCTGAGAATGGTGAGACTGGTTATGTGATGATAATGTATCATCCTAGGGAACAATGGTCCTGCTCATTTGTAACCAAAGACTAGGCATCTAGTTCTTCACTGGAACAACTGAATGCTGGTTTGCAGCTGGTCAAGGGAGAGGCAGGCAGGCACACCCTCACATTCCCTCATTCATATTCCAATTGGTAGGAGGAAAAGGGAATTGCAAATAAGGCCTGAATGTCCTAAACTGTGTTTGTAGGCCAATGTAGCAGAGGGGGTTCATGGGAATCCATCAAATTAACTGGATCTGAGCAGAGAGAGCATGAGACAGCTATTGCTTCCTACACTAGTCAATGGAAAAAACTGGTCAACCATCCCTGCTAGAAAAGATGTTTGAATACTAAGCTTTGAAATTTGTGAACATGTGTTGCTGTTGTGAGAAACAGCTATTAGTGAAGACCTGGGAGTGTTCAGTTGTTTTTTTCCTATGCCAACATTTGAAACTTTTTTTTACCTGTAAATCTTTTATAGTTTCCTACAGAGACATCCAACTTCTAGGGCCCTATTTTAACGATCTAAGCGCATGGTGTAGGTGCGCACCATGGCGCAGGTGCACTTAGGGCATGTCCGAATCCACTTTTGCTAGTTTAACGACGGGAAAAATGGTCCCATTCCCTTTAAGAGCCAGTTGCACTCGTGCCATGGTGGATTCGCTATTTACTCGGCGGAATTTGCAAGCGCAAAGACTGAGCGCGTCTCCAGAGATGAAAACGAGCTGCTCATGCGCGAGCAAACAGGTATCCTAATTCTGATACATGCAATGACTATCCATTATGACATGTAGGCATGTTTATATTTATGTAGCCTACACAATAATAATCTTTTACTTTGTATTCCTTTAATTTTGAATATTTGGCATGTTTGTGTGCTGCTGTGAGTCCCTATGTGTGTAATAAGCAGAGTGTACGCGCCCTGTGGACCCGCCTATAGGCATATATTACTAACACGCTCTTTAAATAAAAAATACTGTGCCATTGACTTTAGACCAGGGGCCCTATTTTAACGATCTAAGCACATGGTCTAAAGCGCACGGCGCAGGTGCACTTAGGGCATGTCCGAATCCACTTTTGCTAGTTTAACGATGGGGAAAGCGGTCTGTGCGCCTGGCGCATGGTCTAAACGGGTTGTCCCTATTCTCTTAATGAGTAATGGGTGTGTTTTGGGCGTAATGTGCAATAAACCAATCAGAGTCTCTTCTCCCATCCCCTTTAAAAGCCAGTTGCGCTTGCGCCATGGCGGGTTCGCTATTTACACGGCGGAATGTAATTTTTCATTTTTAAAAATGTTTGTGTGCTGCTGCGTGTCTCTGTGTGTGTAATAAGCAAAGTGTATGCACGTTGTGCACCCGCCTATAGGCGCATATTACTAACGCTCTCTTTAAATAACAAAGAAAAAATATTGCGCCAGACTTTAGACCAGGTTTTAGTTGGTCAATGGCACAGTCTATTTCAGTTGCCTCAAAATAGCAACGCACCAACAATGCGCCTGAACACACCTCGTTTTCAGACCAGCACGCCCATGGGCACACACATTTAAACAACGTGGCACAGGACGTGAAAATGACAACTGCGTCGGGCTGAAACTAGCAAAAAACACTTGCGTCGCGCCTGGCGCCGCATTGCGCCGAGTGTGTGATAGGGCCCTTACGGTCAGCTCAGGAGTGTGGTGATCATTTATGATAGGGATTTCTTGCCTCTGGCCAGTTTTTAATTGGTTAAATTTACTATTAAGTTAAAACTTACCCTTATTACAACAAACCTTGGTCTTCCTTACTTTTAATTGTTATTGAACTGCCAAAAAAGTAATGAACCTGTTATTGTTAACCGATTATGGTAGCTCCTTTGTAGCATTGTATAGCATTAATGAATAATATCGTTTAACAGATTAATGTGCCGGTAATATTGAAGTTGCTTTATGCCTGAAATTAAGAGTATTGTATGAAAGTGCATGAAAAAAACGGCAAAAAATTGCATGTAAGAAATATATTGTATTGCTAAACTTTAAATGGGAACTGTTGCTTTTGTTTTCAACACCTTTGCCATTTATTTGACATAGACAAATCACATCAAGCAGTGAAATCACTAGCTGTAAACACATTACAGATTTGCGAAAAACTTTTGCGATATTTTATAAATGTTGATAAAAAAAAACTATTGTAAAATGACGCCGTTTCCATTAACCGATGTTATGCAACTAAATAAATAATAAATAATAATAATAATAAATAAATAATAAATAAATAATTTTTGGACCCAAATTTGTATCAGTTTTACTGGTAGTCCACTGTATGAAGAATTTTTGGGTATGATTTATCACAGTTTACTTTATTTTGCTATCCTCACTTACATAAATTAACTATAGTGTCCTGCACCCACTAGTAAAACAATATCAACAATTATATCTGGTCTCTGAATCTTGTTTGGTTTGACTGTATATCCTTCGGTTATTTTCACACTTAATTATGCCCATTAAAATGTATTTTACAAGTTTTTGTTACTTTCACTGTTCATTGTTTTGCTCTGTGGTACATCATCTTTAATTTAATAGCATTAGAGCTGCTCCATTGCAGCGGCTTAGTACTGTAATCATGCGCTTTGCTGTAATAATGCAGGGAACCACTCGTTATAAATCTCCTAACTGTGATATTTTCAGAAATAGAAGTCACGTTTTTTCATCTGAAACGTGCTGCGATTTATATTCCAAAGCCACTCATATAATGCAGAAACACTCAAGCAAGCAAAACACACGCAACGCGTGCAGGTATTTGTACTGATGCAGAATAGTACAGCCTAGCGCATTTCACACAGGCTGCTAGATTCACTTTCGCCAGAAAGTCGTGTATGCCTAAGGTTGAAAATAAATGATGTTTATAGTGAATGCCCCTATGAATGGTTTTATTTTTACGATTTAGTTTTAATCCAAATGATGCGTGATCAAATCAAGTATTGACTAGAGTGGCTAAGATCAGCTCCGGTGGCTGTGTCGGAGCCGTTATGCAGTGTAAATAAGGGATTATCCATTCAAGCATTATTGGCAAGGAATACCCCTTATACTTGAGAGTGGCCACATATGAGGTGTTTCTTGGAGTGACTTTTATGCATGCCAGGTGACCTGTAAATGCGGAAAAAAAAAAAAAAAAAAAGTTTCCATTGCAGTTTTTCAAATTGCCTGAAAAACCACCTATTGCGAGCATACAATCTTTTTTTGTGATATGTGGGAGTTTTTGTGAAATTGACGTGTTTCCATTGGGTGTATTTTCAATTCGCAATTTCAATTTGCGCAATTTGAAAGGTAATGGAAATGCAGCTACTGACAGTAACATTAACTTAACATCTTGCTGGCACTCCACTACAGGACCTGACAGGACCCGACTCATGAGCTAAAACATTCAGTATGGGTCGCAATAAAATTAAACTCTTCTTAACTTTGTTACATCACTTCTTGCATTGTTACAAACGACTCAGTGTCTCAGAAATGTCTCTTTATGCTTCACATAAACTAAAGATCAACAGCAGACTGACTCTTGGGTCCCTGTTCAGAACATAGAAGCCACCTATAAACTGTCTGTAATACAACATTTAAGGGTGAAGTGTGTATTTTTTTCCAGCTTTTATCCCAGTGTAATACAAAGATTTAACCATAAGTAAGTCATTCTTATGTTGACCCCTGAAAAGTATGTTCACTGTACACTGGGTGGGTCAGATGGTAAAGAGGGGAAATGTTAGGTTTGAAAATAGTCATTATTTTTGTCATTCCATTTGTTTATACCAATGGAACAGACATTACACACTTCACCTTGAAAAAAAATGCCTTTCATTGGATTGTAATGCCTTCTTTGTATCCCATATTGTTCTTCACAGATTATTTGAGAATTCTGTATCTGTGTTCTAACCGAACAGCATGGCCAAAGATATTAACAGCCAACTTTGAGCATGACAGCTCCAAACAACCTGCTCCTCCTGGCCTACAGAACACAGTACATGAAGGCAGCGGAGAGCGATGACTCCAGTCGCACAATATCAACAAACTCAACAGGTCAATCAGTGTAACTTGATAATGCCTACAGTAAATCTTGAAACCTGTGTGTGCATTACTCTGAAAACAAGCTGACATGTTCTCATTAGAGCAGCACAGCGAGTGACTTACGGAGAAGTGTGATTCCGTGTTTCTCTTGTTACTTGGGAAATACTTTTCACTCCCCTCTCAGGAACGGAAGAAATAGCAATGTTAGGACACTTAGAAAAACTTCATAGGTTTTTCCTAAAAGAAGACAAAAAAGGAAAATCATGAACGTGGTAACTATAACACACATCTCTATGCTAAGTCCTTTAACTCAACATTCCAGAATGAAAAAAAAAATCCTGTTTGTTTGTTTTTGTCTTTTTTCTTCTTTCTCTTGCTATGTGCTCTAAAAGTGTAAAGTGGACAAGGAATGCATGTAATCCAAGACCTTACACTGTTCACGATATCACTGAGAGATTGACAAAGAGGATTTGTGCATTTATACTCCAGCAGAGAGAATATGAAGAAGAGGACGAAAGAAATTCTAGAACAAGCCCAAACATAAGACTCAGATCATCACATAAGAAATCACTTGGAAAACAATGTCAGATTCTGACCAATCAGGTCTTTTTTATTCATTGTCCTTTCCAAAGTATTAAGAAATTGCCCTCAGGCTGCAGATGGGGTGTTTTTACAACCATTGCACAGCACTGGCGAGTTGGAATCTTGTGCATTATCTTTTTGTTTTGTTGTTCTATTGTCGCCTTGCTATGTTTGTAGAGCATTTAACATATTTTTCTATTCATGGTATTTATTTATTTTTTTCCACATTGTTTGTATATAGAAAAAAAATAGACTGAAATTTATTTATATTTTTTAATTCAAGTGTTTTTTTTTATTTTTTAATTATTGTATTGAGTTCCTTTGTTTGTTTATTACTGTTTTAAATCCATTGTTACTCTGTAACTTGTTTACAGCCTTTTAAATATATATATTTTGGTTGAATTTTCTGTTTGACGGTTTAAAAAAAGATCAAAAGCAATAGCGGATGGTCGTCAGTCAGTAAAGAGCACAATTGTTAGATGTTTTTACAGTAGTGGTCAGAAGAGTGATATCTGTCTGTAAACCTGTAATATATCTGTAAGGTTCAGGATAACTGTCTATTAAGTCATTAAAAAGTGATGCCCAGTCTCTCATAATAACACATTAGGTGTGAAAGCCATGTTTTGTTTTAAAATATTTTTTTTATTAAATAACTATAATAATTAAGAAAAACACAAGGCTAGCTGAAGATAAGGGAGCTGCTTAGTGTAATGTTGGAACTTCTAAGCAAGTAGAGATTGCATGTTCTAAAAAAAAAATTCTTGATATTGCTATATGTTCTAATGGTATGTGTGAATGATTTTGGATGTGTGTATGTATGCATCTACATTTGTTATCATTCAAATAAGAAAAAAAAAATCTGATCAACAACAGGAAAAGAAATGCTTGGTCAGAGGACTTTTAATTTCAGACCTTCTATGCAATGATTTTCTCAGCTGAGAAAAATGGTTGTCAGAGTATTGAAACAAAATAAAACAACTAAATCAAAGAATAACTAGATAGTAGCTTCAAAAATGTTACTTGGGGGCTGATTTGTTTGTATAAGAGAAACTGTAACGTAAATACTATAAATCTGAATGGAAATTTTGTTTCCCATATTTGTCTTCAAAAATGTTACTTGGGGGCTGATTTGTTTGTATAAGAGAAACTGTAATGTAAATACTATAAATCTGAATGGAAATTTTGTTTCCCATATTTGTGGCATGTTTCCCATTTTGTGGCACTGTTTTGAAATGGAGCCAATTAGCCATAGCGATTAACATAAACGTCAATCATTTCTCACTATCCATGGACGGTTGCTGCTAGATGAACGGCATATGATGGGGTCACCATCCTTCACGATGCTTAGTTGGTGCAATACTTAAAGGAAATTACAAATCTAAAGCATACTACAAATATGATAACAATAAAGCAGACATCAAGAAAAAATATATATAAGGAGGTTATATTTGAGAAATATTAAACAAAACATTTTGAAGGGCTGCCCATTTATCTGGTCTTAAATGATCCTCCTCTGTGGTTGCCCTTCCACAGGCCGTGGGAAATCTGGAGTTATCGTACAATTTGAAAACTTTGGGAACCCCGTTTGGACCCCTCGCTGCATTACCACACACTGTAATATCTGTGCGGTCAGAAAAGCTCTTGAGTTGAGAGGAAACCCAACGACACGGCCTACAGCTAATGAGCTTCGTCACAAATTACATTGGTTTACATATATTCGGATATATTTATTTTTTCAAATAGATAATAAATAAATAGCACTATATTATGTAAATGGATTAGAATGTATACGAGATGGCATATAAGAGAGTGTAAAACGAGCAGTTATATAGCAATGTATAGCACCTATAGGCCACCTAAAACACTCAATGGAAAGCAAATCGAGGAGTCTGTTTGTACTGCCTGCAATATGAACTATATTAGCTGTCATTCTGTCTTGCGTCTCAGAGATTTTTATTTGTTTATTTTTTCTGTGTGTGTGTGTTTGATCCTATTCACCTCAGGAAAGCATAGAGTTAACGCACCAAGGGGAGATATATGCATCGCTATAAGGGCTTAATTACAATACTAAGAAAGCCATTCATTCTAACACCCTAGGTTTGTAATTCATTAGGGCTGTTGACTGTGATGTATGTCAGGGAAACCAGATCACCTGCCATTATCTATGCTATTTAGCTCATTCATGCATTGTGATCCTTTTTACTAGAAAACAGTTACTCTTGTAGGAGTAAGTATGTGGCACAAAGAAAGAAATAGATGGCATAGAAAAATTGACTGCTGTCACTCTGTCAAAAAGGAAAGAATCAGCTAAATTTGTTTTAAAATAACCTGATAATTGCATGCCCCCCCCCCTGCTGCTCAGTTGCACTGGCAACCATTTTCACCGTTAAAAGGACATAAATATATCTGTAAAACATGTACATTTTACTATACTTCTGCACTTCAAACATTCAGAGCAAGGTGTAAAATGACCTGTTGTTTTGTGTAAATTACATCTAAAAAAGAGCATCACGACATAAACAGAAACCAAATAAACACATAAATATTCAAATAAATCACACTGTGTATGTGGTTGGCTCATGTGGACTGTTTGGAAATGTAAAAACAAATTGCCTTGAGACACATTTTTGGTCTATGGTCTATACTTGTTGTGATTGTTAATGCAGATAAAAGACTCTTTAAAAAGAGAATATGGCTTCCATATCATTTGTGGGCGGGAAAATTTAAATGAACAAATGTACTTTAGAAAAAAAGAAAACAAAAGACAACAGTTTGAAGGTGTTCGGAAAATACAAATAATGTTACATTCACTGTTGTGAGAGCATATCCATATATCCATTGTAAACTTTGTGTTTGTTTCAGTGTATACCTGTAGTAGGCTTGATGTAACGTCATGTTGTGTGATGAAAGTAATGATGACTCTTCAATACAATCAGGAAAAAATAAAAGAGGATTTTAAAAAACACCTGAATCAAACTTGTCCTTTTCACTACTATGACAGATACATGGATAAATGCACTTATTTCATTTGCTAACCTAAATGCCAGAAAAAAAAATCTGTGGTTTTGAGAAGTGCAAGTATGGTTAAATGCAAGTATTGCCAATATTTTGATTTAAATATATTGTGAAATTACTAAGATAAGCTGTCCTTTTAAGGAATTCATTTGGATGAAAATGTGGTCCATTTGAATACATAAACAAATTGGAGCCAAAAAAAAAAAGCAAACAAAGTAATGTTGGTCGGCTTATATATACATTAGTGGCTGTGACCTCTTGACTAGAAATAATGTTGCTTTATTCAAGTGTGTACAAATCTATGGGGGCTAAATAAAAGTACTTTTAGAATGAGCAAGCATAGGAGCGGCCGTCTAAAGTATTAGCCAATTACTAATAACTCTGTCTAATAACCAAGACTGATGAGAATGTGACCGTAAGATACGCTAACGGCCGAAGCGATATCTTTGAACGACATGAGCACCCGAATGAACGAGTACAATAGTATTAAAGAATAAATAGAATAATCAGATGTCTAGATAAATTATCCTATAAATGATCAATAATAATTAGCATTCTAACTCAAATGCGAGGTCATAATAAAATGGAGTTAGATTTGAATTTAACCTAAATGTAATAACTTTGCGTGCTGTAAGGACCGAACACGCAGGAAACCTTCATCCACCATTGGATACCTCCGTTGGGGCAATCGTGTGGACTTTAGCTTACATAAACAAAGTTTTTTTTTATTGCATAACAAGAACATTAACACAGCATACATATATAGAGGGTCACAGTGTTTTCAACTATTATCAATTACATTCATGATAGTATCAAAGGAACTAACAGGAAAAAAAAAAAACTACAGGGGATAGCTTACAACAAATTTCCATAAGAAAATGATTCAAAAATTTCATACATCTTTTATGCTTTATTTCTTAGATCTTTTAAGGCTTCAATGTAATGCTTACGTTCAATTGTAAATAATGTAATGTTAGGTTTATTATTAGACCATTTTTTGTTTGTGTAGGCCTATATGGTATTTTCCATACATACTTATTAATTTAATCACCAAATTTTGCTCCAAACTCTTATTTTTATACAACAAAAATATATCTTTACCAGAGAATTGAATCTTTAATTTTATACATTTAAATATTAGATATTCAAAGCTGCAGTCCGTAAATTGTGCCTCTTTGTCGCCATCTCTGTTTGAAAACCTGGAATTGCAGCTGTGTGTGGAATTTTGTGTAAATTACATCTAAAAAAGAGCATCACGACATAAACAGAAACCAAATAAACACATAAATATTCAAATAAATCACACTGTGTATGTGGTTGGCTCATGTGGACTGTTTGGAAATGTAAAAACAAATTGCCTTGAGACACATTTTTGGTCTATGGTCTATACTTGTTGTGATTGTTAATGCAGATAAAAGACTCTTTAAAAAGAGAATATGGCTTCCATATCATTTGTGGGCGGGAAAATTTAAATGAACAAATGTACTTTAGAAAAAAAGAAAACAAAAGACAACAGTTTGAAGGTGTTCGGAAAATACAAATAATGTTACATTCACTGTTGTGAGAGCATATCCATATATCCATTGTAAACTTTGTGTTTGTTTCAGTGTATACCTGTAGTAGGCTTGATGTAACGTCATGTTGTGTGATGAAAGTAATGATGACTCTTCAATACAATCAGGAAAAAATAAAAGAGGATTTTAAAAAACACCTGAATCAAACTTGTCCTTTTCACTACTATGACAGATACATGGATAAATGCACTTATTTCATTTGCTAACCTAAATGCCAGAAAAAAAAATCTGTGGTTTTGAGAAGTGCAAGTATGGTTAAATGCAAGTATTGCCAATATTTTGATTTAAATATATTGTGAAATTACTAAGATAAGCTGTCCTTTTAAGGAATTCATTTGGATGAAAATGTGGTCCATTTGAATACATAAACAAATTGGAGCCAAAAAAAAAAAGCAAACAAAGTAATGTTGGTCGGCTTATATATACATTAGTGGCTGTGACCTCTTGACTAGAAATAATGTTGCTTTATTCAAGTGTGTACAAATCTATGGGGGCTAAATAAAAGTACTTTTAGAATGAGCAAGCATAGGAGCGGCCGTCTAAAGTATTAGCCAATTACTAATAACTCTGTCTAATAACCAAGACTGATGAGAATGTGACCGTAAGATACGCTAACGGCCGA